ACCCTGAATGCCGATGGACAGATCCTCATGTGATTCCCATCCTTCCTGCCCGCCCACTGCTGGCCCTTCTAGTCCACATCTCCCTACACTAGGCGGGGGTGGGGAGGGGGAGAGGTCATGTTGACAGTGATGTCTGTGTTTTGGGGGGGGGGTGGGGGTGTCGTGTCCCTGTATTGCATCAAGAGCTCCCAGCATGGTGGCCATTCCTGGAAATAGGTCAGGGGTTTTCGGGTGGCCTTGTCCGACAGCTGGTTGCCTCTTCTTTCCTACCATAACCCCCCCTCCCCTGCCCACCCTCTCCATCCGCTCACAGCCATCATGTGACCTGTGCTAAAATAGCCCCTCCTGCTCCAGTTTTTCTAGAAAATGTTTTATTTTTTTGAACCATTCTTGCATGGCCGTCCGTCCCTCGCAGCGGACAGGGGGGCCGGGGGGGGTGGATCTTCCCGTCTGGGGGACTCACCTCCCTCACCTCTCCCCGACCACATTCCGTGGGCCCTCCGAGCCCCCCCCCTCACTTCCAGGCCACGTGCTCAGTGGTAACTGCCGAGTACGGTGACAAAAATAGGTGTGAGACTCACGGAAAGAAAAAGTGTTTAGCATTTAACTGTTTCAGGACAGGATTCTGTGAAGATTCATAGCTCACTGAGGGTGTGTGGTGTGCTTCACATCTTCTGACAGCTGAGAGCAGGGCACATGCACACACACAGTCGTACACCGGCAGTGGTTGCTAGCCTGTATGTGTGTCTTTTGGACCATGACAGAAAGTGGAGAACATGCAGACTCCACTGCACCACCAACTGCGACACTGCGCCACCCCGTGTATTTCAAGTTAATTGGAAATGAAAGCATGAAATAAACCTCCAAGCCTGACTGATACTATTAAAGTATGTCGTACTCTCATCCTCGCGAGCGTATTCTTTTAATGCAATTGTGTAGCATGCTAATTCAGTTAGCAATAAGCATCTGCCCCCCCCCGAATGACCTTCTTCCGCAGACTGTCAGTGCCCCCCCCATCCCACAGTGCCCGATGGCGTGGTCCCTCCATCACCGTCAGTCCCCAGTGGTACAGTCCATAAATCAGTCACTGCCGAGGGGAACGTTCCTCTGTCATTGTCAGTCCTCAGCGGAACATCCATCTATCCCTCCATCCATCCTTCAGTATCTATTGCAAAAGTGTCTCATTCATTCATTGCCTAAAGGCTACATTTACAACAGATGAGGTTTTCCGAAAAGATTGAACGAACTTTGATATCCATTAATAAAGTGCTTTAAATGTCTACAAAATGCATTTAAAGCCCATTAAACATTTTACTAGTGCATTTTCCATTGTTATAAATAATAAATTATAGTAAAAATTGATTTAATGTGGTGCTTTCAGTACCAATGTACCCCTAAGCTGTGTATGTAGAAGCTGCAGTTAGTTGAATAGGTGGGTCTGATCTTGGACAGTGTGCCCTGAGATGGACTGGTTACCTTGCTGG